GGAGAGCACCAATTCAATTCTGGGTCCGTTTACCCTGGTGAAAGATTTTCTGTGGTTTCCTTGGATCACTTAGGCAAATGCTAAGGCAGTAATATTCCACAGATAATCTTTCACTTTCTTCGGTCTTCATTTCATCCGTCTCATCTTTCTCATTAATAGCTGGTGGAAAAGAAACCCCCAAAAGATTTTTTTCCTTACTTGCAGGTGTCTTTCGGGTGTATCCAACGTCAAATTGTCGACTACATTTAGATATGGTGCATGGTCATATAGTTAGAAGTTGAATCGCGATCATCAGCAAAATTTTAACTTGAGTATTTACAAACCAAAAGCGGCGCCCTAGGGTGAAAATGTCAGAAAAAGAATAATGGCAAATATCTAACATATGCATTCTATAAGCGCTCACAATATTTCAAAATGGCAATTTTAGTTGCTACTAACAGGCTAACTTTCAAAGATTTTGAAAATAATTTCTTTTGGACATATTCACCCAGTGGCAGACTAATCAAATCTACCTCGTCAGCTCCCTCTATCTCTCTGCAAGCAGTAAGAGGGAGTGACATGTTCCATAAACGCATTCGATTATTGACTAGCTTTCCTGACCTAGGGAAATGTCCTTAGATCTAGGGGCCTTGAGGAAATTCTTGTAATAAAACTGGAATAAAACGAAATTCATCTGACAACATTGATTTTCCAAAATTTTCCTTGGCCCATATACCTAAAGTACTTGCATACATATTTCGAAACTATCCATACACTTACAAATATTTTTACACTATCTATATACATATGCCTGTTTACTGACGCCAGATTTTTTATTTAAACAGTTCGTTAATTGTGTAAAACACACTAGTTTATTTTAGCGTTATCACCTGCTCATTTGCTGTGTTATTCATTCTCGTTTATGAAGATGAAAAGGCTCAATAAAGTGTGCAGGTAACAGGCGAGAAGAGACACAAGATTTTTAATATCCATTAAACTTGACACGAGTCAAGTGAGGTAAGTTTTAAAAATAGCAGCTCATACATTGGCAATGAAAATTACACAGCGACAAAATACACGTAATAACAAGACATGTATTGTGTATGTGGATGTGTCACAATGAACTCACTAAACACAATAAACCAGATCTATGTAGGTCGTAATAAGAAAGTACGTACCCAACAATGATAAATAAATAATTGCCTGCTGCATGTTTATTTTATATTTTGTTCTAACGTCGTACAGAAGTGAGCAGCGAGTAGAAGTACAGAGTGAAAAAAAAAAGAAAACAAAAACAAATCGAATTAATGTAACTGTCATTAACGACGGAGAGAGTTCTCTATAAATACTCCTGCTTGTTAGATACAGCAGGTGTTAAAGTGCAATCAGCGGCTTTGTGGTTATAAACAAATATATTTGTAGTTAATAAATATCGCTCGATTAAGTCTTTTCGAAATGCTTCGAATATTATTACCGACATAAGTAGATGTTTAAAGTAAGTATTTTAGTGCCTTTTTTGGAGCAACTATGCACTTGGAGTTATTTTTGCTGTGATGAGCATTGCCTCAAATTTATGCCGTATTAATTGGAGCTGGTTTTGGCTCATCCACCTTATCACTAGGAGTACTGTTGAAATTGTTACGTGCCGAATATAGTCTCTGTGTGTTGATTTGAAAAATCTTAATCATAGTCGATGTTTTTTTTTTGTTCANTGCTTGTTAGATACAGCAGGTGTTAAAGTGCAATCAGCGGCTTTGTGGTTATAAACAAATATATTTGTAGTTAATAAATATCGCTCGATTAAGTCTTTTCGAAATGCTTCGAATATTATTACTGACATAAGTATATGTTAATTGGAGGTAATTATGTTAAATGAATTTTAAAAGTTTTAAACCACTTTTTGCCTTCAAGAAACATAAGCCTTTCGTAGCATGTGCCAGATATTGGATAATTTCATGAAAAATATGATAGTCCATCGTTCACAATTTCTTAATATTTTTCGTAGTTGGACTTAAGATCCTCCAAATTAAATGATACAGTGCGATCAATTATGTTCAGGTTAGATGAAATTGGAATTAAGGAAAATTTATGTTTTTTAATTTTTGTTTGGAAGACCTGCACATATGCCAATTTTACTGTTGTTTTCTTCCTGTAGGAAGATAGTGCCCTACTCTTACTTGCCAAAACTCCTCCTTTACCATTTCGCCCTAAATATTTTAGTGCCTCTTTTGGAGCAACCTACTATCCTGCACTTGAAGTTATTTTTGCTGCAATGAGCATTGCCTCAAATTTATGCCGTATTAATTGGAGCTGGTTTTGGCTCATCCACCTTATCACTAGGAGTATTGTTGAAATTGTTACGTGCCGAATATAGTCTCTGTGTGTTGATTTGAAAAATCTTAATCATAGTCGATGTTTTTTTTTGTTCAGTCCCTCCTTTATGTCTCTACTTTTATTCTTCATGCGTTTAAATCCGCCTGATTGATGTCCTTGTTTGCATTACACGCAGCAGGGTTGGTTACCAGCTTTATCTCCGGGTTTACCGAATTTAACAGATAAGGATTCCTTATACACTGGGCTTTAACGTGCCCGTACTTTATTCTGCATTTCGCTCACCCTATTTTGATATCTGCAGTCGGGTGATATATGAAGTATCCATTTCACTCATGAGTTTTGTTTGTTTCTTTCTATACATCAGTCGAAGGGCTTGTAGTTCAAAACTCTCAGACTTAGATAGCCTATCATGTTTTCTCTAATTTTCTCTTCGATGACTGTTAAGTCCTTTAAGTGTATAATCCTTTTGTTCATCAGCAACAATGCTTTTACTTCAAGAATCTTTTCGAATATTTCTCGTATAAAAATCACAATCTTTCAGGTCCACTTTGTATGGTAAGCAGAAGTTGGCCGTTTCTTTCCGTTTTTGCTACTTTTTAGACTTTCATTCCTGCCTTGTCCGGGTTTATTTCTTGTTTGACTTTTTAGACAATTCCAGGTATATTTTCCCTTCGATTTTGATCAGCCCAACCTCGTATTTTGGTTTTTTAAGTTCTGAGTAGGACTGTCTTAAGGTTTTGTTTCCAAATTATTGATTTGTCAATTTCCTTGATTTTCCCTAGGTATATTCGGGTTTCGATGTTAGTACTTGCAAACAAATATTCGTTTGAGCCAGTTTACATTCTTCACACACGGTATGACATTTTGTCTGGGTGTCGTGATTTTTAGTTGCTCACCATCTTTGTCCTTCAGCTTCTCCATCCGGTCTTCGCGGTCCTGGTTCTGCCCCCAAAACAGCTGAATATCTCATTCTTTGCCGACTACTTTATCTATCACAAAATAATTACTTCGGTAGTGTTGTCTTCTTACCGTAACCTCATGATTCTAACTTAATAACTTTTTTGCTATTTTCCATATTACACTAAAAATTTACACAATTCCTACAATGTCTTTATTGATGTAGGCAGATAAGATAACTAACATTAGATATTATTTCCAGGTTTCACTTTTTGAATTAGAGGTTCCTAACCTTTTTAAGATTAGATATTGCTCCCTATAGGTACTTGTTGTCGCTAATGATAATATTGTCGGCACGAATTATTTTAATTATTGACGAAATTGTCACTGCAATTCAAAATGCATTTCAAATGGTCACTACCTAATTGCAAAAATAATGGTACTTATAGGCAACATTTTGTTTTTTCTTTAAGCAAATGGATTCCTTCTCATTTGTTACTAGAAAATGGTTACACATTTTATTATACAACCTTTGGAACAAGATTTATTTAATGAATGTTTGTAAATAAATGAAACTATCAAATTGACGTAGCTGTCCTTGAAAAAAACTGATATCATCATTATCATTACTGATACATATACACACGTATATAGAAATACGTGATGTAACTTTATCGCTTCATTCAACAAATCAATACAGTAGTTAATTGATGATAGGTGCGTACATTTTACAAAACGTAGAAGTCAATGTATATTTACCTACTTTATTATAGTTAAATCCATTTGAAACAACACTTAGACATATAAGTAGGAAGCGGGTAGGCATACAGACGGTACTATTTTTTTTTTTCATGTTTTATTAGTTCTTTCTATGATACAAATGGCATTAATAAAATTAATGAATGAAAATTTCTTCGCCGCTCAATCTCAATACGAAAATTTCTTCAACGTTCAATCTCAATATTCTAGCCGTCAAATTTTTTAAGTAGCTGAAGAATACAAAAATACTGGCGGAAGGAAAATTTATAATTTATGACATGTTTCTGGAAATGAAGATGAAAGTGATATTTTGGTACATTCATAGCAACGGCTCCTTAAGCGATATTTTAAAAAATTATGGTGGAAAATTGCCAAGCTCTAAGCAAACGTATTTTCAGAACGACTTGCAATTTACCAAAAAGATGCAGTCGTTTTCAACAACCTGCATTTATGTATTTTATGTACCTATATGTACCTATATCCCTTTCTGAACTAGTTATTAATTAAAATATTTACTTGTTTATTGAAATTTCCTTTAAATTTCCTAACGACGAGTTTTCTTCAGTGGGTTTCTATTATTTATAGATTTTGTGTATCCCGTGAAGAACAGAAAATAATCAATAATAGGTAACTAGCTCTCAAGGAAAACTTCTTTTTAAAAAGCACATTCGTAGGCTCAGCTATAAAACCGCTGAATATCTGTAAGATTAAATAAATTGAAGAGATTACCTATTATTAATTTTTAATTCTGTATAACCACCTACATTTTGGTATAGGTAGGTATACATATTTAGTTTTTTAATGCTACCTTGAGCACTGAACTTGAAAAAAAGCACAGGTTACCTAGGTACCAGTATCAAACAGAAACACGATATGTACCATCAGTGAGATAATACATTATATGCATTAAATCAATAACTTGTTATCAGCTGTTCGTATTGCCTCCGTTTAAATTACTGAACGGCAACATTTTTGTGTGTTAATTTTTTCAAGCATATTATTACAGTGAACGTAGTTATTTAAAATCTTACCAAAATAGGAATAAATGTGTAGTAGCAAAAGCAGTATCAACCTTTGAATATGTGTAAACACGTAAACACTCAACGATTAAATTGTTAAAACTAAAAATATTGTAAGTACATCAATAACAAATAAATTAACGAAAGGAAAAGCTAAATTTGTACGTTACACGTATAAAATTATTTATCGAACGAACGAACCGAGCAGAGAGAGCACGCGAATACTACAAAACGACGACGAAACTCGTCGGCAACTACCAGCCGCTATGACCTCGACCACTTGATATACTAGGCAGAGGCAGTCTGAAAGCAAAGGGAAGTGTGAGACTCGCTTGTTGTATTAGTTGGGAGCATGCAGTTTGCCTCATGTTATTATCGTAGTCCTTAGCTTTCGATGAAGCTCACGATCAGTTCTTTTGTACCTGTTTATCTACCTGTGGTGCATCATTCATTTTACAACGCATCGAAATATAGGTATAATAAAATAAGAAATACAAAAAAATGCAAAATGCCTTTTATTTTTTGTCTTAAATGACTTTTGCAGATATGAGGTTTATATTTACAGTTTAGTAGTTTTTGATTTTTAAATTTTAAAACATCAATACCTTGCTAAACATTTGACTAGTACTAATGGCTTTTCCGCAGTCTTGTTTCTTTCTGTTTCTTGGCAATAGCTTTTACTTCTTTATCAATCAGTTTTTAAATAGTTCGGAAAAGGTGATCATAAAACTTCCTATCTTCATTGGGATAATTTATTAAATAAATAATGAATACAATCTATAACATATGAGGGATGTTGTCTTTGTTCAAAATATTTGGAAAGTCGCTTATTTTATGACAGTTTTTAGAGAAACAAGTGATATTTTCACAGTCATGGTTGAAAAATCATTTTCCATACCAATTATAAATTTTCGCTCGTTCAACAGATAAAGAAAAAAACGCCGACAAACAAATGCGTAATTTTTATGTTTGGTAAGCAGTTTGCCCTATCTGTATAAGAAATAATCTTCACATTCCTTCCTACTATACAAGTAAGACAAAACATTCATCAAACATAGAATTTACATCATCATCATAAGGTCGTCAGTCCTAAGCTAATCTTCGCATTTCCCTAAAACTAGAACGTCCCACATCCTTAACTATTTGCGAACAGTAATCTAATCTAGGTCTATATCTACTCTTAACTCCTGTTTCTGACGGCTTAATAAGACGTGATTAGTCTTATTAGTTTTCTTGATTAAAGAATCACTTTGATTTACAACAAGACGAATTACTCTCGCTTCGCTCAGGAAAAATGAATTATCTTTCGGGAAATTTCTTCAACCTTCTAGAAAATCCTAAAACATTCTACAATTCTATAGATGTAGGGCATTCAGAAAAAATCTGTAATATTCTGAGCCTACCGTTCTGCCGTTCCATATTGAGTCCTTTAGGACGATAGTCATTTAACCCTCATATCTTTGAAACCAATCCCTGCAGCTGAAAACCGAAACCTTCCTCATAAACAGGGGATGGAAGCCTAGCATAACCCTTATGAGGTTGGTGAATTCGGAACTTTAGCGGAACGTTCGGACAAACTACATACAACATTTATAAAATATCAATTAATAGCTCATAATGCAAAGTTTTTTAGAACACAGTGAAAGTTAAATATCTTTTACATAAATTGGTAACGGAATGTACGTAATAGATACTGTTTTAGCCAGAAATTATTTAATAATATACCCCAACTTCCACAACGCTCTGAAGATCTGCAGCTGCAACTGCTGAGAAAGAGCAAAAGGTCGACAATAAGGTTAAGTGCAGTATTCCGTGGTGATTCCATTGCTCTTATGATAGATGCGCTGCTGCTTTTCAACAAGCATTACAAACATTAAGTTCATTATTCTGCATAATACAGAATAAAGCAAAAATAAATTTAAATGCGCTAATTTGCAGCATAAATGTAAATTTTTATAACGCGTTCGTGTTAGTAGATAGAAAGCAGTTAGAATGAATTTCTACAGTGCAATAACCCATGAGATATTTATTCGGAAGATTGCTCAATTATTAAAATAAATATCTTGGCAACGAAACACGGTGTTTTTATTCTGTTCAATTTTAGAATAAGTTTTACAAAAACCTGGAAAGTGATGAACAAACGATTAATTTTTAAGGTACTCAAAAAAATGTTCTCTTGTGGATTGAGTCATAAATCCAATTTTACTACAAAAATATAAACAAGCCTCTAAAATTCATTTTTTTGGCTATCAATTGTAACCTTTTCATTTGCAAATTATGTTTATTAAAATGCAAGAAAAGTGATTATAGGCTATAAGAATTTAATCAATAATTTATAACAGAGTAAATACTAAGTAATAATTTTTGTAATTTTTTACTATGGTGCAGTACCTATATCACTCATTTAAATAAGAGCAATGATAATTTTAATAGAAGAATTAATTCGAAAACAATATTGTGGTTAAATTGTTAAACTTTTATTAGTGTTTCTTGATCACTATTGACATGCATGTCACAATAGAAATTGACCCACTGACCCGACGTTTTCAAGACAAGTCATGCGGTGAATAGACAAATTATATGCTAATTTAGCCAACATGACCGAATTGAAACTAACAATATGTTTTTTACTTTAACTTTAACAACGATTTTACGACAATCAAACACCATTTGTTCGTTTTCCTTTACTAAATCTACTCTCATGTGCTTTATGAATAGAAATTATTTCTTCATCTCGCCTTTGTAATACACCAAAAAGATGTTAATCATTTTCATTGAATATTATAACCGTGCGAAGTAGACAAAAAAAACATTGTATATTTAATGGGCACCAGCTTTTAAAGGGAAAGAGTTAGCAAAATGAGAAATTTCATTTAGACCCTGACAAGAGTAATACTGATGCTGAGTTCTACGTAGCTGTACTTACAAGATAAAACAATAAGACCAAAAGTAAATAAATAATCGGTCAAAAGAAAGAGACCAAAGTGTTAGTACGTAATTTGAAAAATATGTATTAAGTACTATACTTTTGGCGGGGTTAGTCTGTAATATCGTTTTATTGTTGCATTATTACTTTCCAAAACTTTTTCTTCGAGTTCTACATAAAAGGCTTTATAAAAAATGTGAAGAAGTGAGTGGAGTCAATCAATTCGGATTTGAGAGCGGATTCGGAACCAGAAAAGTCATCTTCAGCCTCCAAACATTGGCTCAGAACTGCCAAGATTAAAGAAAAGATGTCCATGTGTGTTTCATTGATTACGAGAAGGCATTTGACAACGTTAAACATAATCCTCTGATAACATATCTTAGAGAATTTGGGCTGGATGGAAAAGATGTAAGGTTGATCGGTACTCTATATTGGCACCAAAAAGCGGAAATTCGAATAAGTAACACTGGAACAACAGAAGATTTTAATATTAAAAAAGGCGTCCGCCAAGGATGTATTCTGTCCTCAATTTTGTTCAACCTGCATGTAGAAAAAGCATTCTCCGAACCAATCTCAATAGTCCCTTCGGAATTGTAGTAAAAGGAATCCCAATTAACAATATCCGGTATGCGAATGATACTGTGATATTAGTAGATAATGCACATGATCTCCAAAGTCTACTAAATCTGATCAATAAAGAAAGTCAAAGATAGGTTTAGTAATTAGCATCAGCAACACCAAGTTTATGATTGTATTAGGAACGATATTCCTCATACTCGTATACATATTAATGAAGAGAACATCGAACAGATTACGCTGTTGAAATACTTGGGATACATGGTTGACGAGAGAGAATCAAGAGATCAGATGTAGGATCGAACAGGTCAGAACTACGTTCTTAAGACTTGGAAAATTTCTTATAGACAAGAATCTGAATTTCAAATTTAGATATAGGATGGTAAAATGCTATGTCTGGTCTGTTCTCCTGTACGGTGTTGAGGCATGGACGCCGAAAATACCAATAATCAACAATATCGAAGTCTTTGAAACGTGGATTCTGAGGTGGATGTTGGGGGTGTCTTGGGTCGATCATGTGAAAAATGAGGACGTTCTTCGGAGAGCCGATCTAACAGAATGAGAACTCTTCAAAAATATCAGAACGCTACCACTTTCAACGTCTCATTCTGCAAGTTAAAATTGAAGGAGGAAGAAGAGGAATAGGCAGAAAAATCCGACAGTGGACAGGAATAAAGGAGTTCCAAACACTACAACATGCTACCACTTTCAACGTCTCATTCTGCAAGTTAAAATTGAAGGAGGAAGAAGAGGAATAGGCAGAAAAATCCGACAGTGGACAGGAATAAAGGAGTTCCAAACACTACAACATGCTACCACTTTCAACGTCTCGTTCTGCAAGGTAAAATTGAAGGAGGTAGAAGAAGAAAAGACTGAAAAAGAGTACCATGGCTAAAAAAATTCCGCCAATGGATAAGGATAAAGGACTTCCAAACACTACAACATGCTGAAATGAATAGAACCATATGATAAGAAAACGATGAACGCCTATGTAGGAGTCTGCACGACACTAGAAGAAGAAGAATTAGTGCATATACTTATGCAAGCTCAAACTTTGACTAATTTAACTATTAACACTCGATTGAACAAAACCAAGACCAAAACAAAATCAATGGTATTCACGATTGCCAAAAGTACTCTTAAGTATATTATTGTATTATTAGGTTTAGTTATCTCGATTCATTGGAAGTCTTCACCAATTTTTAAGGCGTGAGCCACCATTGATTAAAGGTATCCGTTTCTTTAATAAATATTGAAACCAAATAAAAAGCATAACAACGAGAAGACACAGGTATTGAACCACACCAAACAAGGTAAAACGTGGAATTAATCTCGCGATAGTCTTTAATTATCATTAAACCGAAACGGAAAATTTCCTGTCGTGACCAACGATCAGCAAGCCAACACTATTAATTTGTATGATGGAAAACAAAAAGAAAATCCTATGTCACGAACTTTAACTTTGCCAGCGTATGTACATTGGTTTATTTCTTTTATTCTCATCTAAATACTACTACAATTGTTTCATTTTTCTTGTTCAAATATAGACAGCACGAAGAATAAATTGAAATTTAATAAACTCAGTGGCGGTACGTGCATAAATAATAATCCACCAGCCAAAAATAAAAAGTGCCTACAAAAATAGAAGAGTTGTCGAGAAAAACTGTACATACAATTAGGAAAATAAATGCGACAGTTTTATTGCGGACTGTGGATTGTGTACATTATCTGCTTTGGTTTCGTTTTACATTCATTTTTTGTGCATTAAATAAATTAAAA